CAGAAAATACTTCAAGCGAGTCGGTGACGAGGCAAGAAACGGATTCAACGGCCGCGACAAAGAAGCCACCGGATAAGCGGAAGATTGAGCATCCACAAAACAAGCCAAGAGATCCACAAAACAGGCCAGTATCCACAAAACAGCGTTCAAGCAAAGATGGTTACGAAGAATCACAGTTTTCAAACCCTTCGAATAGGTCATCTAGGAGAAACAAGAAACACACACAGTTTTTTGGTAGTCCTCTCTAGCATTCGGTGAAGATATCAGAGAGAAGTCGGATCTATCAACGATACCAGTTTTGCCGGAAGACCTACCCATTTCTTCAGGATTGACGCCATCTCTACGCAGGAAGCTAAAGAGACAAATGTTCGCTGTATACAAACTAGATCAAGTACCAGGAAAGAAATGAATTAGAACTAGAACTTTTGAAAATTTTGTTTGTTTTTTGTTCTCGGAATTACCTTAGTACCTATGAAATTTTTCGTTGAGGGGAAATGTGAAAGAGGTCAAGTGCGCATCAAGTGTTATGTACTAGGATAACATGACCGCTACTATCAATTATGCTAAGTGAAGACATAGACCTGTCAATTAAATCTAGAGACACGGTTAAGTCTATGGTGCTAAAACCAACACAGTGAGTGAAAGATTTAGTTGAGTGAAAGATATAAATCGCGAAAGCCAGTGAAGGATATAGTTGCTCATACATATTCGAATGATTCTCTTATCTATATATTTTTTACTTACTATTATAATTCAACATTTTCTTAAGTAAAGTTTTAGATAAGATTTAGGGGTTATCGCTGTCAAATGTAAAAATTTTGGGTTGTACTATCCAACTACAGCCGACTGAAATTAAGACTGACTGCGTGTAATTCTGAAAAAAAAACTTCGAGCTCCCATGTCAAAAGACTACAATAAAGGTCCTTTGTACGAATGTCAAATCTGCGGTAAACCAGCTGTCAACGAGCTTTCAACTAGCTTTCTACAACAGCTTTCAACTAGCCCATTTGCAATAGATAGAAGGCAAAGTCATGCTTTCTAGCACTCAAAAGATTAAACCACTAATAATTCGAAGTTCATAATGTCTGGCATGACAAAAATAACCACACTTAAAGCTAATTCGCAACTATGTCTGAAAGACCAATTAAGGAAAAACACTTTTAATTGATTCAAAAATTTGGAAGTTTTGTCTTGCTTAATAAGGTTCAACAGTTTTTTATTTTTCTGAATTCTTAGTGGAAACAACAAGCGTGCCGAAAATGCCGTTGTTTTGGAGCCTTGTGTGGGTTAAGAAATAAGTTTCCTCGAACAATTAAATTTCGGCGTAGACCCCTCATTTTGTCCTTCAGATAAGAGAATAATGCAAGATCATTTTAACCAACCAACCAAATGTCATATATATTTACACATTGGTGTATCATATTTTCCCTTCTCGTGGGCATCAAGAAAGGAGGAGGGTCTTATGCACTAAACGGCCCAAAATTAGAATTTCCACATAGAACGAAAAATGTATGTGGTTGAGTCTGATTGGCTAATTCAACAATGCGTACGGTACGTCAATTAAAACTTCAAGCAGATGAAATTGTTAGCTGTGGTTGGGGGTGGGGGATACATGGGGGATCGGGGTACGTGAGGGAGGCGGGTGGTATATCTTGGGTTGGGGGGATTTTTTTTGTTTTTTTTTTATTTTTTAGTGGAAACAGCAAGCGTGCCGAAAATTCCCTTGTTTTGAGACCTTTCGTGGAATAAGAAACACGTTTCTTCCAACGATTAAATTTCCATTCCCTAAATCCTCCCCTGTATATATATCTATATGTATATATATGTCTGTGTAAGTGTGTGTGTGGGTGTGTGGGTGTTAATTGAACGACTCAAAGTCTAACTCTTTGCATGAGTATCAGCATAAAACCTATAGTTTGTCAAAGCTTCATTTACCAAAAACTATGCGAGACTAATTAATGGACAGTCGGAACATTCGGGGTTTTGCAGTCGGAACATTCAGTATTTGTGAATTATGTACAGGACGGGAAATAAAAAAAACCTCATTACGTGTTCGCCCAACGCGTCATTGATCATTGAAGCTTAAGAAAGTATGCAGGCAACAAATGCCTCATGGAAAGTAAATTGGACGACTCGAAATACATCAGAAATTGTCGCCATGAAATCATCATGAAGTTCATCGAAACAGTAGATTCACAGGTGCGAGGAGGTCTGACAAGGGGCTACCCGCACCGAAGTTTCATGGGTAATAATCGAAAATAATGGATTTTCATTGACTAAAATGTTGTCTATATAATCGATTATCATGGCATATTTAGACCACGTAATCGATTTTTAATCTACTGTAATCGATTATTTTTGAAAAATTTAAATCCATTATAATCCATTATAATCGATTATAATCCATTTTTGTTTTCAAAATAATGGATTATTTTTTGTACATAAAATCGATGAAAGATAATTAAATTTTGTATATAATGACTTGAACAAAATGAATCTGCAAAACTCGAACGAACACGTTCATCCAGGGGCGGCCAATATGTAGTAATTTTCCAAAAAGGGCCCAAAAACAGCATTTTTGACCAGTTCCTCACGTCCCCCCCCCAACGTACCTCTCGTCCCCAACGTAACTCCTCCCAACGTACCCCCTCACGTACCCCTATGAATTTGTTTTCTTCTAATAAATTTGTTTTGAAAATAATCAGTTATAATCGATTATATGGGGATTTTATTGCTTAAAAAATATTATTAATTTAATCCATTTTCAATCGATTATAATCAATTGTTTTTGTAGTTTTAGAGAGACTGACAATGAAAATCCAATATAATCGATTTTTATCTATTCAACTTCAGTGCGGGTATTCTCAAGCGCGAAAAAAACTCGTGAGCGAAGGACCGAAAACAAAATAAGCCGAAAGTTAATTTTCAAAAAGAAACAATTGCCATTCAATTAAAATGAAACAAATGAAGCAATATTTTGCTTCTTTCATTACGAAACCCTTGAAATATAAATTTTGTTCTAATTCGGCGGCAGTCAGTGACAATTTGAAAATTTTGCATATTTCTGCCGTTTTTATATTCGTCCAATATCAATTTTCAGTCCCTGGAAATGTTTACTATCTTTGCAAATTTTAGATTAGTGAAATCTGATTGGCTGATTTTAATTTTCGCGCATTCGGTCCTTCGCGTATGAGGGTTTCCACCTTCTGCTTTGCGTTTATCATTAACTGATATGGTGACCCAATTTAAAAGATACCACTGGATAAGTTTTTAATTTTTTGCAGTCTCAATCTCTCCTTTCTTGATGCCCACGAGAAGTGAAAATATGATACGGCTGTGTGTAAATATATATGACATTTGGTTGGTTTTTTGCCAACCGATATGTATAGCGCTCCAGCCTTTACAAATTTTCGGCAGTTGCTCTCCAGTAGCATATACTACCTGACGCACTCTGCAACGAATAACTAGAACCAACCTGCATCAAACTTTGCCGGGATAGCAACACTCAAAAAATGGCAAACTTCGTAATGATCCTATCATTGACAACAACACTCAACCACGTTGAAAAAGTTTTGCTACATTTACTGCAACAAAGATCAATCAATCACTCTTCTTAAGTCGACGGGTTCAGGAATACCCACCCAACTCCACCCCGACATTTGATATTTCATTTTACAATTGAAAATGAGGCCAGCTGTTATCCCTGTTATGTTTGAACAGTGCTACAATTCGACTAGTTTACCGTGGTTGCAATGCCCGACATGCAATTACTTTTCCCCTTGCATAAACACAACAGTTTGAAGACAACTGATGTCAAGTTACTGAAAATGGACAATTTGAAATCTAGAAAAAAAAATTAAAAATTGAAATATTATTCCAGAAAAGCAGCTATGCAAGAGAAAATTGATGGTTAAATTGTTACCATAACCCGCAATTCTTAGGTTTACAAATGAATTTCGACTTTCTGTTTCTATTTTGACTTTCTGGGTTCAATTTCGACTTTCTGGGTTCGACTTTCTGGATTCAACTATAGGGCCTTCTCGACTGAATTTTCTGTCAAACTCTGACCTTTTTTACGTGAGAATATTCGATTATCAAGTTAGTAGCATGCTGTAAAGCCTAAATAATGAAATCATCATAAGCTTGGCTGATCATCAAAGTTTTGCGATGTGAACTGAGAGTGAAAAAAGGAAAGTAACGTCAGGTTTAACTAGTGTGAGAAATTTCTTTGATTTTACTATGAAATAGGAAATTTTACCTTTCATCAAAGAGGTGTCGGTTTTCTTAAAATTATTTAAACATGTATGTATGTTAATAATTCGACCATGCCGCGACTATTTTTTTGATCGCTGCGACTAACTATTCGACCGCCGCAACTTGTTTTTTGACCAACCATGCCGCGGCTAATTTTGATCATACCGCGACCATATTTGTGACCACTTTTTTGACCACGTCGCGAATAATTTTTCGACCATGTCGCGACTAAATTTGCGACTTATTTTTCGACCACGTCGCGACTAATTTTCGACGGCTGCGACTAATTTTCGACCACGTCGCGACTAATTTTCGACGGCCGCGACTAATTTTTGACCACCGCGACTAATTTTATGACCATCGCGACCCTGATACGGTATTTTCAGAATTTGTCCGCGACTTAAGACCCTGTCCTGACTATGGCCTTTTGGTCGCGGAGTTGAAGGCGAACAATTAGTCGCGGACCTCGACCCGGGTTTTCTGGACACGTATTGTGGCATGTGATTAATTGGCTTTTTGGAGCCCGCTCCCCACTCAAAACTAGTATTTATTGGTGCCATAAAAACACAAGATTGGTCGAAAACGATCCTGTGTTAGTTTGATTGCGAAGCCAATTTGAGGTAAATAGCGTGTAGATTGATCCTACTGAACTTTAAGAAACTTGAGAAACTAAATAATGTCAAATTTCAATGATAAAAAAAACGTCGAAAATCTCATTAATCTGTTTATATAACTTTATATATGAATTAAATAATTGAAACATTTTGGTTCATCAGTTCTTTGACCATATCTTGAAGTTTTTTCTTAGCAAAAGCCGGACTGATGTGGTTCAAATCATCCCAAACTGCAACATTTCCATCCAAAGCGTCAAATGAAAATGATTCTGAAGTGTTTGAAAATAATAATTCACCCAAGTCGATATAATAGAACTTTTCGTATTTCTTCTTGAACCCTTGAAACAGTTTCCTTATGAATTCCACGCCTTTGTCATAGTGAAGTTCAATTTGACATTGTAGTTTTGAGGAGTTTTTGCCTCTGCGCCAATTACGAACTTTCTTGAAACATAAATTGAGGTCATTTTTCACGTGAGGATGTTCGATTAAAAACACTCCAGTAGTATATTGTAAAGCATCAGGAATGAAATCATCATAAGCTTGGCTGATCATCTTTTTCCAATTTAGCAAATCGTTTTCGGCACTTATTGCGCTGTAATTTCTGTACCAAAATTTCACGAGGTGAATTGACCTTGAGAAAAAGAAAGTAACATCAGGTTTAATTAATGTTAGAAATCTCTTTGAGTTTACTCTGAAATCGGAAAATTTGCCATAAATTAAGGGCGTGTCGGTTTTCTTAACAACAGTTAAATACGGCGAGGCGCCTGCCCATATATGGTTATAAGTTGAAGATATGTTGCACTCTTTTTTCATTTCAAAAAACGGTTCTATCCACGCTTTAGTGTATGAGTCTCCGTTCAGAAAAACGCTTCCGAGCTTTCGGAACGTATCGCATTTCATTGAGTTTGTTTGAATATCTGGTAACTTTGCAGAAACATTTGTGATATCACTTTCTGCACTCCTCATTATAAAATATATATGATTTGAGAAAATACAAGCAAGTAATGTCACTTGAAAAATAGAAGATACTATAAAAACCAAAAAAAATTGACATGGACTAAGATTCAATTTGGTTAAAACGTGTTTCGATGGTTTTTCAACCGCATAAAATAAAGTCAAAGCAGCCGAAAATGACAAGCCCAAAATTTGAGCTGCCCTTAAATATTCGTTAACAGAAAAAGTTTCCAGGATCTCCCCAAATTTTGTAATCGGAACATGACATAAATACATGCTGTATGATAACTTGCCAATGTAACACAAGAAACTGTTCTCAAATAATAATAGTCTAATTTTCCCATTATCAGATGATATCTCAAGAATAGCAAAAATCATCACTGATAAGAGGACACTCAATTGACCCATATATAAAGTTTCTGAATTTCTAAAATAAAAAAGTGTAACAGCGAAAAAAGTTACTAACAAACCAGAAATGATATCGGTTAATGTTTTGAAGCTCGCTTTATTTTTGTCGATAAAAGTATCTTTCATTTTACCGATGACGACAAAAATAGAAAGCAAGGAACCTGCAAGCAATTGATATAGGCGTCCGAAAGTTGATAAATAAGACATCATTGCGTTTTGCGACCATAGATAATAATTAAAACTTGTTGCAAACAGCAAAATGATAGAAAATAAGTAGATTAATTGGGTCAAATTTTTCTGGCAAATATGCCATAATAATGAAAGAAGTAATGGAAAAAACAGGTAAAATTGTTCTTCGATTGAAAGTGACCAATAATGCATTACGGGACTTTGGTCTGAAGCGTCGTCGGTAAAATAATCCATTGAAGATTTTAACGCATGCCAGTTTTCGACATAAAATGCCGATGCAAAAAATGAAGACTTATGTTTGTCGACATATTCGGTTAGTTCGATTTGTTTGTAAACAAAAGTTGTAGAAACTAAAACAACACACGAGGCAGGAAAAAGTCGTGAAAAACGTCGGCAATAAAATCTGACCAGGTCAATTTCACCTCTGTCTGATAACTCTTCAAGTAATATTGAAGTTATTAAGAAACCAGATAGTGTGAAGAAAACGTCAACTCCTAAGTACCCGTTTGAAAAAAGCGGTATTTCACAGTGGAATAGAATAACCAATAAACAAGCGATTCCTCGAATTGAATCTAGATGTTTGCGATGACCAAATCTACGCTTATTTTTCTTTTGCATATTTTGATTATGAAGATTCGGATTTTTTGGTCAGGAGAAATAGGAATAAAACTTTCGGCTTGAAAAACTTATTGGTTCAACTTAGTATGTTTACGGATAAACAGCAGTCAAACAAGTATTAATTTGCATCGAAACTCTAACTTTGCTGATTATTAGCAATATCAAAATGGATGAGCCACCAGTCAATATGAAACTAAAAGATATTTCTTCTGATAATGCTTAGAACAAAGCCATAGTTATTTGACGATCTTTCGATAACAGTTTGATCAACAGTGGTTTTAGTGCCTTATCGAAGCAAAGTTCAGTGACAGCTTTGAAGTTAGTATAGTGAAACGCAAAACAGAATAATCCTGGGTACCCGGGTCGAGGTGCTCGACTTATGTTTCGACTTTGAAAGTGGAGCAAGTGGATAATTTTACGAAAAAGTCGGAGCTGTCTAAATTTTGGCTTTTTTTTTATTTTGCCATATTGGCGTTTTTGTTGTCTCTCAGACAAGTTTTTTTGAACCACACAAATTTTTTAATTGGTCTCTTACAAAGTTACAACTTACAGAAAAAGGCGGAAAAATCAAAATTTTGATCATAGATTTATTATCAATGCTTTTCAGAGCATTTCCGCACTCAGTAAAAAGAGAAAATAATCAATTATATTTTAATTAAAATCGTACATTTAGCAAAATTATAATTAATTATAAGCGCCATGTTTTGATGTTTACACGATTAATACTCCATTATAATGAAAACATTTTTAATAACATTCTAATAAATCATAATCAGTTATAACTGATTATAGTTTTTCGGAAAATCTCTTATAATCTCTTATAATCTATTATAATAGGTTATAATTCCTTTTTCTATCAAAATAATATCTCACAAAAAAAATAATTTATAATGGAATATAATTTAGCTATTCTGCAAGAAAACAGTAAAAATCAAATTTCATTTAAGTTTAAGCTAAAGTCACAAAATTACAGTTTCCTTTAGTTCGGTGACCTACTGAAAAGCACACAAAACAGAGCAAAATTAAAACTAAATAATCGGCGTTTGCACAATAATTCAATAAAATTTGTGAAAAAAAAATTAATTTAAGGAGACTGACAAATAAATCTCATATAATCTATTATTACCTTTTTACTGAGTGCGGGTTAAGCTTGCATTAGTTCATTTTCCGCAGTTTAATTAGCGCCATATAAGTTTCTCAATTTGGTTAAATTGGCAATTTTTGAACCACCGTATCTTCTCAACGAATAATGTTTCTGACTTCGGTTGCTCATATAATTTTTTCCAGCGAAATCTGTAAAAAAGTTATATTTTGTTGCAGCTGTGAGCAAAGTAACAAATTTTGTCAGTCTGAATTTGAACTAACAATATCGCCCGTGGCATGAAGGAGTTATCCCGGCTAAATTTTTAGAAAAAACAACAATTTTTTCTAAAAAGTTGGAACAGAGTGCATTACTCATGGGACGAAAACTTAAAACAGAGCCAAAGAAGAATTACAGAATCAGACCTAATTTTCGGGTCGAAACTTTTTTTGCATAATTAAAAAAGAACCCATTGAGCTCAACTTCTACAACAATTGATACCCTAATTATCACGGATGAAAAAGACCCTATGGTGCTCAATTGGGAGCCTAAAGAAAAATGGGCTCATTAACTACCTTCCTTCAGCCCTTTTCCGTTCAAAAACAATTTCGCCGGGGCTCGAACCGACTCAATCAGTACTCAAGACACACGTAATATATCTGTTGTATCAATTCTTAAAGTTATCGTTTGTTTTGGTTTATTCAATCTAAAGAAGGAAACTGAATGAGCCCAGTTGAATAAAAATTGAGCTCATTCAGTTCTGTTTACTAAGAATTGGGCCCATTCAGCTAATTTTTTCTAAAAATTGGGAATTCTGCGCATTTCTGAAGAATTGGGCTCATTCAGCTGCATACTTAGGAACTGGGAACCGAAATTGGGCATAATTTCTTTAAATTTTGGTCCTTTTAGCTCCTTTGGCTAAAAAGTGGGCTCAATCAGTACCCTTATTGAAAAAAAAGACGAAAATGGGGACCAATTTCAACCCGAGTCCTAATGAATTGAAAATCTACCAGGGAATAAAAAAGGCGGACAGCTAATTTGATTGCTAGTTCCAAAATGATATTAGAAAAAATAGTTTGTTACACAGTTAAATAGAATGAAAAGTATGACATGAGGAAAAATTTAAAAAAAAAATTGCAACATGAAAATAACAAGAGCATGGAAGGTTTCACAATTTCAGATCGTTAATGGGAGGAGTAAAATAAAAGAGTCAAGTCCCTTAGTACTTTAAAAGTGAGCTTTACTGAGCAAACATGTATTTTCCAAATGGACCAAGAGGTTTGCAGTAATGCTAATTTGGGTGTATAGACAACTAATGTTGATGGCCTGCAAAAATTTTCGATTGGATCTATGTTTGATGTAATTTATTGATTTCTTCTGTTATTCAAAATATGAATTTTGCAAGACAGTTTGTCATTGACAAAGACTCCTGTAAAAATTATAAAATAATTGTTGCAAAAGGTGTAGTTAAAAAATTTCAAGTCGTCAAAACTGACATCTTGTTGGAAAGTGACTATAGTCTGTTTATGTCTATGGTTGATTTAATTTGAGCGCCATCATAATCTTTGAAATAAGGGCTCTTGAACCAAGTGAAAAGGTAAAATGTCGTGGTACATAAATGTGAGCTTTACGGGCCAATCAGGGTTTTTCAAAGTGAACCACGAAGTTTTGCAGGAAAACTGTTTTGTCATAAATCAAATGCAATGCAGGTTTATTATGAAATCTTTCTTGTTTGATAAAATATATTGACAAAAAACGATCAATTTTTATGTTCGATAATATTATCCACAAAGAACAAAAGACGAATATTATTTTAGATTAGTTGTACAAAAACTTCAAAGAAAATTTTTGATTTTTTTGCCTTCAACACCAGCATGAAAAACGTCAAAATTTCGCTTGAACTGTTGTATGAAATCCTTTTTGGGCAATCTACTGAAGTGTTTTTTAACCATAACTGTGCTTTTATAAAAATACCAACCGATTATTTAAAAAAATACAAAACAAACTACGAATTGAACTCAATCGTAGCATTACGAAAAGAGGTAAGTAAGCTCCCGTTACAGTAAAAGTGTATAGCCCTAGAGCAGAGCGATAAATATTTCATGCTTGTATCATCTAATCAAAATCAGTTTTTGTATAAGAGTGGTTTCAAATTTTTAAATCGTAGTGTAGGGGATGCCTAGTCTAATTTGGGGAGCGGTGGTGAAGTGGTTACGTCTCCGCCTCTCAATCGAAAGGTCGGATGTTCGAGGCCCACCATGAGCCGTGCTCGTTGCTTGAGGGTGAAGCAACATTACCCAGCCCAGAAAAATAACCAAAAAAAAAGTGCATGTAGTTCTTAAACAGGGGCACAACAGCGGTTCGCCGTGATGAGCTGTACAGCTCTTGTGTTGGTCCTTTCCCCCGTGGATAAATGGTCTTAAATTAATACTAATTGAAATTGTCATTTATGAATGAATCATTTGCAAGCTTAGTCTTTTGAGAACCTTCAGGAGTCCATTTGACGAAAAGGTCTCTACACTTTAACTAGAAATATCGTATACTTTTTTGTAATGTTGATTATGGAGACTTTTGGATGTCACTTTGACTAATTCATGTAAATTGAGTTTCAGTTTTAGTTCCAAAGAATGACTTTCGAAAGACCCTTTGTCATCGACATAGATCTTTATGTAAGCTCAAAATTTTGATAGAGTTTATAATTACAAATTTATAATTGTAAGGAACTGATTTCGACAGATACGTATGTTAGGTATGACGAGTAAAAAACTTATTTTATAGTTTACGGACACAGTTACAGTGTTATTTGTATAAAGCAAGAAAATTCGAGCGCCGTAGAGTAGAGGGCCGTACTGGTCCACTTTTAATTTGCTCACAACTTGATTGCCCGGTTGGATCAAAACATCCTGAGTTATTTTGTTGAGTTATTTGACACATTTGACGATGTTTTTCTTTGTCTTCGTTCAATTTAATTAAATGTATTTTCTGTAAAAAAAAATTTGTTTCACAGACAAGGTCTTTACATTCTGTTTTTTAGACCTTTTGACGAGTAAAGTAGCGCTAAGTTTTCTTTCTGATGAAAGCATTTTACAACTAGCAGTCAAAGTTATGTTTTTTTTAGCTCTACTGTTTCGTGAGAATAACTAGCAAAATTTATCAAACGGTTTTGAAACTAGAAAAATTTGATGTATAAAGGCAGGGGCGGATCTAGGATTTTCTCGAGGGGGGGCGGATTTTCAAAAAATTTTCGAAAATTTTGACGACCTTTTTTTTTTTTTTAGGTCGATCAGATTGATTTTCCTAGCTCTCCCAAAGCAGTAATAAGACCCTGTTTTGGCCAAATTTTCTGCGCCGCAGGCAATTTTTTGAAAAAACAGGTCAAAAAAGCCGTTTTTGGGCACTTTTTAGAAAATTTTGACAAAAAAAAACCCGTTTTTTGGCGCGCGCTCCCCCTCAAAACTAGTATATATTGGCGCCGAAGGCGCCTTTAGAAAAATTTTAGGGTCGGTCGGCCAAAATTGGATTTCTTAAAAAGTACCAAAGGGGGGACCCTTTGGGTTGGCAGGGGTTCGAATCCCTGAGGGGGGGGGGGGGCGTCCGCCCCCCCCCCCCTAAATCCGCCCCTGTATAAAGGTTCAACGCTATCAGGATAGGCGTTGTGGGATGTAATGCTTTTGACTTTCTAGTCCTTCAAAGAACGAGCCGAGACTCAGAAGGATACTCCGAAATGGCTGCGGCTGAAGTTAAACATTGTAAAACTGACAAATAGAGAGTGAAGTAATGATTCCATTTTTTCCAGCCGTTAATTTTGGCTTAAAATGCCGCCGGCTTTAGCTTTCGGAATCATGAAAAATTTCAACGCAAGGGCCGCTAGCTTCAATTAATTCTCTGTTGACATTTCCACAATTTGATACTTCGGCTTCGGTCGTTTCGGAGTTAATAACTGCGTTTGAGCATATTCCACAAGGACTAGGAAGTCAACTAAGATTAGTACTTAAAAAAACGTCCTCCTGAAAGCTCCTCCTAGTAAAACGAGAGGAACACAGAGCAGGGATTTTCTGAAACAGAGAATTGCCGTCTTATCACTGGCTGCGAATGCGCCTGCGTACTGAGCACTTTTAAGTATGAAAGCTTTCACGAAGATTTTTTTTAAAGAATC